TGAGTAATTGTCATTCCTACTAGTGCCCCACTTGAGACTTTGTCTTTGTGCTGAAGGTTGACTGAGCTACCCTGAAGGTTTCCAAGCATTGTTAGCAAATCCATCTCCCTATTATTTAGATTCCTTCTCTGCTTCAGACTCCATGTGCTGTTCTACCAATTTTGATCAATGGTGGAATCTGGATTAGTTGCAATCAGAAATAATCTTGGGAAGGCATCCTGCAGTTTAGTGTGCCCACGCCACTTATCTTTCCAGAATTGAATGTGAGCTTCATTGCCCTGCTGAAGAGAAGTGTTGCAAGAAAAGCCTTCCCAGAGTTTCCTGATACTCCATCATAATCCAGTACCATAAGGAGAACTCGAAACATTGGTACACCAATGACTAGTCGCCCGATACTTTGCTTGGACTATCTCCTTCCAAAGGTCCGCATTCTCCTGATTATACCTCCAATGCCATTTCATCAACATATGTTTACTCTGGAGAGCCAAATCTTTAAGCACAAGGTCCCCCAAGAGATTTGGGAAGAATGACTTTGTCCCATTTGATTAAGTGATTATTGTGGTTAAGGCTGTTGCCTTCCTATAGGAAAGATCTCCTTATCTTATCAAGTGTTTCTGCATCTTGACTGGAATAGGAAATAGGGACATGAAGTAGAATGCTATCCAAAACACTATTAATGAGTGTTACCCTGTCCAATAAGAGAGGTATTGTTGCTGCCAAGATGCTTGTATTTTCTAACTTCTCAATGACTACACTCCAAATTTCAGTTGATCTCTGACTAGCACCCAAAGGAAGACCTAGGTAGGTAGTAGGGAAAGAACCAGTGTTGCAGTACATGATATCTGCCATCTCTTCCAAATCAGGAACCACGTTAACAGGGTAGATAACGTTCTTGGGCATGTTAATGTGAAGACCTGAGATAGCTTGAAAAAGCATCAAAGTGAGATTAAGGTACTGAACTTGAGATTTTTCTGCTCCACAAAATATGAGGGTGTCATCAGCAAATAAAAGCCTACAGGACTTCTGTTGACAAGAACTGAGTACTTCACTGTTATAAAGCTGTATTTGATCCATCTCTCTCCAAATGCAATTTATCTAAGGGTTGAGATGAGGTATTGCCAGTTTAGCTTGTCAAAAGCCTTCTCTATGTCAAGTTTAAAAAGAAGTCCAAGTTCTCCACATTTTTGCCTCCAATGCAAAACCTCATTAGCAATAAGGGCTGTCAGTGATCTGCCTGCCTTCAATGGAAGCATTTTGGTAAACCTGAAACTAGTCCCCCAGTCACCTTTATTAGCCTTTCAGTTAACACTTTCGACACAAGCTTGTAGATGCTGCATAAGGCTGATAGGCCTGAAATCTTTGAGTTCGATAGCTCCTCTTCTTTTAGGAATGAGAGCTATAAAGTAAGCATTGAAAGATTTAACCATGTTACAATTGACATGGAAATGATTGAAAGTTCTCATGAGGTCAAGCTTTAAAGTTCGCATACTACTTTTTAGTTTTTTCATGTCATATTATGTGATGATATTTGAATGAACACAATCAGTAAGATGTAAATTTTTTATTTATTTTTAGTAAGATGTAAATTCAAATCATATAGTACCACATTTTCACAAGAAAAGAAAACACTAAAATTTCGACCAAAAAAACATTAAAATAGTATTTCTTCCGATCTAATTTATGACGCTCTTTCTTTTTTAATCCGTCTCTAAGAATATGACATATTTAATAATAATAATAATTTAAGTTTAAACTTCTCATTTATCTTTATTGAAATAATTTAAAATAACATAACTTTTTATGATTTATTTAAGACCATAAAATTAAAAGATTTTTTTTTTCAATTCCGTGCTCAATAATAATAACTCACATAAATTACAACTAAGGGTGTAGTTCTAAAGTTAATTTGAGGGAGAAAATAATTCATATTAAATATTCTTAAAAGTTAAAAGTATAAAAATGAAAAAATGAAGTTTTTTTTGTTTCTCACCCGGTGTTCGGTATCCATTTTTTTCTTTTTGATGACAAGGTAAATCCACAGCCACTACCCTTTGGGTGCACACAGAGTAAAACCCCCGGTCTTATGCAATAGCTTGCAAACCACACATGAGAGGTAACTGTACTAAGCAAGCCTAGTGCGGCGAGCTCCAGAAAGCAAACCCTTGCTTTCGCTGGCAAGGGGTTTCGAACTTGAGACCTCCAACATGGAAGTCCCAAGCCCAACTGGGCCACCTTGAAGGGTTGTTCAGTATCCGTTGTGGGCCCAATTAATTCACATTCATATCGAGAAGTCCCACTTTGAGGATGAACTCCCTACCAAAGATGACTCAGTATCTTAGTATCTCAAGCTCAAACTGAAAAACATCTAATTAAGAATGAAGAATTACTTACCACTCCATTGTAATGTTCCATAGTGAGAAAATGAACTATAAAATATGGGGATGAGTACTTTTAAATATTCCTAATACACAAATTCAAAAATCACAAATAAAGATCTCAACAGTTTTATTTCATATATTCTCAATCTTTTTCTTCCAAAGCACTGAAAACCCTTAGAAATCTCATTGTTTTTTTAAAACAAAATCTCATTTTAATCTGATTTAATCGATCAACTTTTTTTAAAATTGGATCGCATGCTAATTAGTAGCCATGCAAGACGAGCCCAAAGATATATACTTCTTGAATATCCGTAGCGATGTCCTTATAAACAGCCTCTACCGCGATGATGTCGGGCATATTCTCATTTTATTTATACCCAATTTCTTTTCTTTTGCTCAATTTTACATTAATTTTGATTTTGGGGATTTATTTAAGGGAAACAATTGTTGATTGGTTTTTTAAAATTTTGATGAATGAGTTCTAATATGTTGCTATAAAGTTTTCAAAACGTGTGATAAGTGGCAGAGCCGGTACTTTTGCTATGAGGATTCAAAATATAAAGAGTTAAGCATCAAAAACACACCTTAAGTATCTTGATTTTTTGAGTTTCATACCTGAACTATCAGGTTTCAAAATTTCCTACCCAAACTATCACCAAATGTTCATCGAAACACACCTCAACTATTAGTTGTTTACTTTTTCTACCTGAAATATCACCATTGTTCGTTTGTCACTTTTCACTACCTCATTAAGACTTCTCACACTCTTCTCATCCAACCTCATGTTCCGCTGCATTTTCGAGGTGATACAGTTCTCACATCTTGCTACTTAATTGATCGGATGCCCTCATCTTCCATTAAGAACCGAATCCCTTATTCATTATTGTTTCCTCAGCCACCTCTGTACTCTTTTTCCCCTAATGTTAATGGGAGCACATGTTTTGTTCACAACTTAGCCCCAAGAAAGATAAATTAGACCTCAACATGTCTTTCTTGATTATTCTTGGGTTCAAAAGGGTAATCATTTCTATTCACGTAATCTTCCTCATTACCTAATGTAATGTGATGTCACATTTTTTTAGTCTCCACCTTACTTTGCATCTTCTTCTTATCGTCCTAATATCTCTGAGGTCTTACCTATATTGACTTTAAGGAATCTACCGTTACTTTTACATTTCAAGCCATAGTACCACCACTCCTGACTTATCATCATCGTTCACATCCAGCATCAGGTCTAGATGATTCACACCTTACACAAAACCCTGAACCTACTGCGACTTGTCTCCTCTTAATCAACTGATTGCACATCAGAAAGGTATATTATCCACTCGTAATATTAACCCCCATTATACTTTCTAAACTAACCATCTTCTATCATCACCCCAATATGCCTTTGAGTCATCTTTGTCCTCTGTTCTATCTCTAAATCTATTGGTGAAGCACTTCTCATCCAAGATAGCGATAGGCTATGATTAATGAGATGTTTGCTTTATATACAAGTGATACATAGGAGCTTGTTCCTCTTCTTTTAAGTAAATCTACTATTGGTTGTCGTTGGGTTTATGCAGTCAAAGTTGAGGAAATAGGAACAATGGGATGTACCCAGTGGCATTCCTATAGATCGGATGCTAAACTATTGTCAGGACAAGAGAAGCCACTCAGTGGTCTTGGTAGCTATAGGCAGCTAGTTGGTAAGATGAATTATCTCACTATGACTAAACTTGACATTTTTGTTCTTGTGAGTGGTGTAAGTGAGTTTACGAATTCTCCTCTGCGACAATCATTAGGATGCAGTTGTCCGCATTTGACGATAAATAAAGTTAGCTCCAAACAAAGGACTACTCTTCGAGGATCAAGGTCATGAGCAGAGCGTTGAATATACAAATGTTGATGGCAAGATCACCTTCGAATAGATGTTCTACATCTGGATATTACGTTTTAATAGAAGGAATTTGGTATCCGAGAAGAAAGAAGCATAATGTGGTTGCTCGATCTAGTGCAGAAGCAAAATATCAAACAATGGTTGTAGCAACTTGTGAGCTAGTTTGGATCAAACAGTTGCTTAGGGAATTAAGTTTGGAGAAATCAATTAGATGGAACATGTGTGTGATATCAAGTGGCCCTTCATATAGCATTACATCTTGCATTTCATGAGAGGACTAAGCACATTGTTGACAGTCACTTCGTCCAAAAAAAAAAGATACTCTCGGGATATATTATTACAAAATTTGTGAAGTCAACTGATCAACTTGCAAATATTTTCACCAAGTCTCTCACTGGTTCTCGTATGAGTTACATCTATAACAAGCTTGGTACATATGACTTATATGCACCAATTTGAGAGGGATTGTTAGAATAGCAATAGGAATAGATCCTACATGGAAAAGGACTATAATGTAGTGTCTATAAATAGGGCTCAATGTAATAATGTAGTCAATGCATCTTAATAATATTTTCTCTATTGTATTTCTCACATAATCAAATACAAATACAGTGAGTAGTTACTCTACAATTTTTCTCTTTCTCCTCCTTAGTTTTGAAAGTTTACTTTCTGGGAGACCTTTTCTGTGGGATAGATACCAAATGCAGTCTAGAACCTTCCTGCCAGTCATCACTCATCACTTAATTAAAAACACGAAGAGCCAATAAATTAAAAATCACATAATTAAATACAAATACAGTGAGTAGTTAGTCTACAATTTTTCTCTTTCTCCTCCTTAGTTTTGAAAGTTTACTTTCTGGGAGACCTTTTCTGTGGGAAAGATACCAAATGCAGTCTAGAACTTTCCTGTTAGTCACTTGATTGAAAAGCACGAAGAGCCAATAAATTAAAAATCACTTATCCTCCTAGCTTTCCTGTCAATCAAATGCAACGGAGGGTGTATGCAAGCAAGTAAGCCTGTGTTCCTCAGGGGGGCCTGACCAGCAGAAAAAACATGACACTGTAATTGAACACTTGACCTTAGAAACAGAAAAGTGAAGGCTATTTTGCCATGACTGCAGGGGGAAGTTGAGAATACTCACAAATCACAAGACTACTAGTAACAGAAAGATAACAATACCAAAAGTGAGCTACATAATGAGTTGAGCTGTCAATCACTTTTAGAAAATACCTAGCTATTACACTAAATAATTTTCCAGTGATCAGAAAAGTGATAAATGAAACCATGGAATCATCAATTCAGTTCTACACATGCAAATTAGGCCTTAATGGAAATCTCCAACTAATAGCAAATTTCATTCCCCCCCTACATTAGCTAGGCACTTTTAAAATACAGCAAGAGAGGGATCATCAACTTCAGAAATTCAGCACATTATATGTAGTGATTTATATGACAGCAGCTAGTGCGAACTTGTTTTTGATAACTGCAAAATTTCCGAAGGCCAGCAGCACAGGGTTTGAGAAGGGGCCCTCTTCACTACCCTTCTCCTCTAAATTAGAGGCTGCAAATTTTTGTACAAAAACTTGATATTTGTTATTCTTTTATAAATCAGAGAAATTCAATAACACTAAACCAATTACGTGTCATTTATACAAGATAATGCTGCAGCAATTGTAACTTGATTTAGTTAATAAGAACATCAAAGTTCAGGAAACATACTCTTCAGAAGTATCTGCTGAAATTCCAAGCTGTACCTCACAGATAGATTTAACAAAGGACAGATGAGGGGCAGTGCCAGCAGATGTGTGATGCCTTGAGGTCATTATACTTGAGGAACATAGAAAAATTATTGAACTGCAAATAGCTGTAACTGCTTTCTGACAATCAATGTCTAATGAACCTTGATTAGGCTCAGATATCAGCAGATCAATGAGATAGCCGCGCCGCAGACCTAAAATGCAGGCCCTGATAATGATGGTATAGCAAATGCACGAGAAAGGGCACCAACTATTGAAAAGTTCTTTCTCTGGTCTATTACAAACAAATTTGCCTTTGCTGCTGCTAAAGTTGCAGGCGCTTCAAGCACATGCAAGTCAGTTCATCCTGCAGATGCCACAGAATAGAAGAATTTCGAATTGCGAAACCACATTCTCTGTTGGGCAACCGAAATTTCTACATAATCTCCAAGCCTGCTTTCTGCCCCCAAAATGGATTCTGGAGTCCCAGCTTAAACGCATTGCCCAATCTAAGCAAACAGTTACTCACCATATTGGCTTATCAACCAAAATAAATTTTCTTGCACTAGTTACAGGAAAAAACACAAACCCCACCATGTAATGCAAGAAAGTTATTACTCTTAGTACCTCTATAGACAAGTCATTCACTGCATCTCCTCTTCACTTTAACTCATGAGAACCCCGAGACCTGCTAGAAAAAAAGGCAATATTAGAAAGAAAAAAAACTTGAAACAATACTTGCCAAAATATATAGGTGACATTGTATGTATTTTCACATTGACAATTGTCAAAAGGATAATATAAAAGCCAAGGAAAAACTATTACTTATTCATTAGAACCATCCATCGCCATAGGAAAATTTGTAAACAAGGCAAGGGGTTGCGGACTCAACACGGCCGAACCCATTGTCAAGTGATTGCAATTCTAATTCACACCCTTCTCATTTCTTTTTCAATAACATGGCACTAGGCTAACTTGCACACAACTTGACAATTCAACCAAGTATCCACATTAGTATTCCACACATATTGACCACTGTACACTCCCTAAATAAAGTAGTAGGAAACCAGATAAGAAAGGAAACACATAAAGGACGAATTTCATTTTTAACAATAAGAAGAACCAACATTGATTGAACAATGTTAGGTGTAAGCAATTTAAATGGTCATTAACTGCAGTTAGTAATTAATAGAAAGGGAATTGTGTCGTTTATAAGGGGAAAGGTCCAATTTAACTCCGACGTTTTTTAAAAAAAAACTGAAGAACACATCCAGCAGCTGAGATTTAAATTCTTAGATTACATACACAGTTATGATTTTGTCTTCCTTCCACCATCAAGGGAGTCAAACTTTCAGTTGCAGCTCATGTTTTTGACAGTTCTTGTATCCCTTCTCTCTCAAAATTCTCTCCTCTTTCTCATTCTTTTCCCTTCTCTCCCAACTCTAATTCTTTTCTGCCTTTGCAATCCAGGAATTACAATTGAATGGAAGGAGACTGATTGAGGTATTTTCAATTTTTTTTCTTTAATTCGTTGGATTGTAATTCATAGTTGACTGACTTGTAATTTGGAATCAGTCTAGTAATCCTTTCGCATTGCTCTGTCAACTTACCTCCGATTCTGTTAAATTAGATTGTGTGTGCCTTACAAACAACTATAAAGGGATTCTCAAAACCAATAGTCACATCCATAAGCAACACAAATATGTAACTGGATTCTGTCAAACCCTTAACATAAAGGAGGAAAAACAAAAGATCAAACAATGGGTGAATCGATATTACGTGCAGTGGATAATATACCCCTTGCCTTTGCCTCAAACTTATAAAAGTAAAACCTTCTATATATATATATACACACACACTAAATCCACACCAATTTTTTTATTTATTTTTAAAAAGAGCGGGTGTAGTGGTACTTCACACCTACAAACTTGAAATACTGAATTCAACTATTAGGATAAAAGCTCAAGATCAAAGTTCAAAGCAGAGATCAAAAACAACAGCTAAAAAGGGTAAAAATACGCACATCTTTTAGAAAATAAATGCAGAAGTAACGAGTTTGAAAGACTCACAGAAAACCCAAGAGAATCCAAGTGTAGTGGCTTATATTACTCGATTCACTTTCAAGAATCTTTTGGCAGTCAAGTAGGAACAACTACGAGGTCTGCCATCTCTCTCTCTACCCAACCACCATACCTCTGTTGTTCTCTTGGAAGGTGACAGTTGGGATCCCTCAAACATCCAAGTCCAGTAACTTCGTCTGAGCCCTCATACACTTGTTGTGTTCTGTACAACTTTTGTGGGTTTATGCAAAGGTACATGCAGTACAGGAAGGGAGGAGCAAACTGAGTCCTTTTCTTTAGGAAAGAAGCAACTTGTTGTATCTATACAAACGGCCATCTTGATTCATCAGAAGTTGGACAGGTAAGGAAACTTCTTGTTGAGCTACGTACTTACTTAAGAACTAATAAACCTCAGTTCCAAGAAATCATATCTTCTACCAAGACATTTACCGAGGAAGCAGAAGCCTTTTTGAAAGAAGCTATTCAGGAACAAATGGACCCACTTTTGTAACACCTTGCAACTTCTATGTAAAAATCTGAACCATTCTCCATATGCATTTAGGCCTGAACCCGATGATTTCTAATTGAACATAGATATTAAGATCAATTCTTTTTCTTTTTTTTGATAAAGTTAAAGTTGTATTCTTCAGCATTAAGGGTATGCTGGCTACCTCCAAAAAGTTACAAGCTACATCCATACATCCATAATTACATAGATCCTAGGAAATCTACCAACTGTTCTACTTCTTCTATACCATCTTCTTTACACCAAAAAAATAACATGTTAATGCAATTTTCTTTAACTTTCTGAATAGTGTTAGTAATATTCTCATGACACCTAAGGTTTCTTTCTCTCCAAATATCCCACCAGACACAAGTAGGTACTATAGACCTTCTTTTTTGGGTCTTGCCCCCCCCCCCCCCTCCTCATTCAGCAGCTCAAAAGATCAGCAGTATGTTCTGGCATTGCCCAGGGCTCTTTTTTTTTTTTTTTGAGAAGGTAACAACTTGTATTCTATTTCCAAAAAATCAGAAACCTGCCACAACAAGTTACAGGTTTCCTAATTACAATTAAGGTGGAGTATCCAGAAGATCTTCAACCCTTTTAACAAAAATTTACAAAGATTTTAAGACATCCATAATTGATTCTAGATCTTCCATATACTCTAATTTACACCAAAAATAGAAACAAAACTAAGCACTTCATCTTCATCTTCTGGATATTGTTGCTCTAGTTCTGATGGCACCTGAGGTTTCTTTCTGTCCAAGCAGCCCACCAGATGCAAGTTGGTATAATTTTCCACCTATCCTTATGGTATGAAATGTTAGCATAACTGCTCCAGATCTTCAAGGTCTGATTATCATAAGGGTTTAATTTTTTATAGGCCCCTTTCACACTGAATCTACCTTGATTGTGGCCCTTCCACTCCAATCTATCTTGGTCAGTTGAAGTTCCTTTGAATTGCTCCAATTTTCTGTAGAACTCAACTAACCTCAAAATCTCTCAGTCATTAGGTCTTCTAAAGCTCAAATTCCATCCCTGATTTGAACAAACTTCAGCCACAGTGGCCCTTTGTTGTTGGTTTAGGGTGTAAATATCATTGAAGGTATCCCTTAGGGGGGCTTGATCTATCCATTTGTCTTCCCAGAAAAGAACCTTCCTGCCATCTTCTGTTCTTATGCTGCAATTTTCTCTAAGCTTTGGCAACAGGTTTCTGATGGACCTCCAAAGATTGATTCCATAAGTATCAGTGACCATTTTGGTGGTCCAATGATCTGCCATTTCATACTTCAGCTGGATTACTTCTTTCCAGAGAGCTAACTCACTAGAAGCAAATCTCCAGAGCCATTTCATCATAAGACATTGGTTCTGAGATTTTAAGTTCCTCACCCCCATACCCCCTTTTTGTTTACTCCCAATCAGTGCATCCCATTTTACCAGGTGGAATTTCTTGGTTTCACTGTTTCCTTCCCAGAGAAAATTTCTTCTTAGAACATCCAATCTCTCAATGACCCCAACAGGGATAGGGAAAAGGGACATCATATAAGTAGGCATTGATGAAGAGAAAAGGAGAGTGGGTCTCCTTGCCTTAGGCCTCTCTGTGAGGAGAAGAATCATGTAGGGGAGCCATTGATAAAGACAGAGAATTTGACTGTGCTTATGCAGAACTTCATCCATCTTATCCATCTGCCTCCAAATCCTCTTTTGGAGAGGGTCTCCAACAAAAAATTCCAGTTGAAGTGGTCATAGGTTTTTTGTATATCTAGCTTGCATAGAATGCCAGGTATATTGCTTCTGACTCTAGAGTCCACTAGTTCATTTGCCATGAGGATGGCATCCATTATTTGCCTTCCTTTGATGAAAGCCAGTTGTTGAGTGTCCACCAATTTGTGTATAACATTTTTTAGCCTATCTGTAAGCACCTTAGAGATGATCTTGTAAACACTACTGATCAAACTGATAGGTCTAAAATGCGTGAGCTCTTTAGCACCCATCTTTTTAGGAATCAAAGCCACATAGGTAGAGTTGAAGCTTTTTTCAAAAACACATCTTTCATGGAAATTCCTGATGGTACTAATTACTTCCCCCTTTATTACTTCCCAGCAATGGACATAAAAAGCCATGGTATATCCATCAGGGCCAGGAGCTTTGTCTCCAACACAAAGTTTCACACATTCCCATATCTCCTGTTCCTCAAATTCCTTTTGTAGCATTTGGTTGTCTTCAAGAGTAACTCTGTGGTTTGCCCTGCATCCACCAGCAGGTCTCCATGACTCAGTCTCAGTATATAATCTTTGATAGAACTCCACAATCTCCTTCTTTATAGCTTCTGGATTTTTGGTTGCTTTCCCATCCACCATTAGTTCATCAATATTGTTATATCTTCTATGAGCATTTGCTGATCTGTGGAAAAACTTGGTGTTGTTGTCACCCTGTTTCAGCCAGTTAACCCTTGATCTTTGTCTCTAAGATATTTCCTCACATTTAGCTATGTTTTCAAAGTCAACAAAGAGTTCTGCCTTTGAGAGTGTCTCATCTTCTGTTAGTGCTCTTTGATCCTGAATTTCCTCCAATTCTGCCAGCTTAGCAAGGATGCTCTGTTTTTGCATTGCTAAGTTCCCATAGGAAGTCTTAGTCCATTCCTTCAATTTATCTTTTAGGGCTCTCAATTTGAAAGCTAAGATAAAATCCGGCCTCCTTTCACAGAATATAGAGTCCCACCACATCTTAACTCTATCCAGGAACCCTTTTGTTTGCAGCCACCAATTTTCAAATATGAAATAAGATCTTCTAGGTTCCCAGTTCCCACTTTGGAGCAATATAGGTGTGTGATCAGAGGTCACCTTGTGTAAGGTTGTGTGCTTAATGTTCTTAAATTCTTCATTCCATTCTTCAGAAAATAAAAACCTATCAAGCCTGGCAGCAACATCATGTCTCTCCCCCTTCCTCCAAGTGTATTTGCCCCTATCAAATGTGGATCTTGTAGGCTCATATCCTCAATGAAATCAGACAGATCATACATTGCTCTTGTGAATCTAGAGCAGTTTCTCTTGTCTGAGGGAATCTGACAGTGTTAAAGTTCCCACATACTACCCAAGGCCCATCAAAAAGTCCTCTGGCTGAGCCTAACTCCCACCATACTTCTTCCCTTTCTACTCTGTTGTTTGGAGCATAGATGCCTGTAAGACACCAAGTGAAGTCGCGGTTCTTCCCTGTAAACTTACAGGTTAGGGAATAGGCCCCCAGACTACTTACTTCTCCTGTCCAAACTTTCTCATCCCAGAGGATTAAAACACCTCCCCTTGTCCCACTAGCTTCCAGCTGACAAAATCTGACCCCTCTGTTCACCCACAAATCTTTAACCAAATTCTTGATATCTCCTTGAATTTTTGTCTCTTGAAAGCAATAAACATCAGCTTTCCATTCATGAATTAAATTTTTTATGATACACCTCTTGCTTGCCTGATTCAGGCCCCTCACATTCCATGATACTATGGAGACTGTCATTGATCACAATTAATATTGTAACCCCCCATTGCTTCTGAAATTACTTCCGCACTCGAGGCTCTTCAATTCGTTGGTTCCCTTTGCTGCCGGGTCATTCTCCTGTTCTTTTCTTCCTTGTTCAATTTTTTTTGTCACATGTTGTCTATCTTCATGAATAACATTGTTGCTTCCTCTTTGCACCCCTTGATGTCGACACCAAATTCTTTGGTGAATTTGATGATGTTCTAATGAATCCATATAGGAATATCAAAATCCGAATCCTCCCCTTCCCCTGGGCTATGCTGATTTAAAGGTACTGCGTCTTCAATTGTTGTCAACCCGGAGATGTTATCTTCACTTCTCAATATAGCAGTAACTTGCATGGCACTATCTTCTAGGGTTTGGGGGTTTTCAGTTACCCTCACTTCCTCTTCTTTACTGTTTTCAGGAAAGTATTCTTCTTCAGTTTCCTCCCGATTATGTTCTGCCTCTTCTCCTTCTCCGCAGTTCAGCGTTATGTAGGAGTTGGAATTATTAGCCTCAAGCTCGGCTGAGATTGGGTCAAATAAAAAAGAGGAGGGCTTACTTACTAGCCCAATTGAAACAAATTGGGCCTGCAAATCTGGGCCCAAATTTTTCTTTTTAACTGCAGCATCAGTCTTCTTTAATGTGGTGGGAAGTGGGACCTCAACCACGCGTGCCTTGGCACGTGCCGAGACAGCTGGCCAATTCAAAATCTTAGGATCGAAAGACGAGCCCACGTGCCCTGTCACCTCTGTAAAGCCTAAAAGGCTTTCATCTTGAATACCAACAGTCCCTTCATCAGACCGCTGGGTCTTTAGGGGTATTTTGCTATGACCATCGGCGACCACCTTCACCGGCATCTCTACCCAGATTGTAACTTTGAAGGTTAAACCTTCATGGACCAGTTCAACTGACTTCGGAACTGAGTCGCTGTCCCCTCTCACCTTCATCCTAGCCCATTTAAGATGGTTTCGCAGCTCTGTTTCTTCTTCCGTTCTGATCCAGCCACCACACAAGTTTCCGATTTCGCGGAAAACTTTTTGTGACCAAAGCTGGAGAGGCAAGCCTACTACTCTGATCCAGACCTGGTCCAACCTACTGTGAGATTTATGAACCAAGTTTCCACAAAAACACTTCACGACTTGTGAATCATTCCATGGTCAGTGGAATGGACTCATGGATGAGAACCTGAAAGTTGACAGAATCGTCTGAGTTCCACAGAGGGAGTCCAGGGGTCGTGGATCATTCCACGAGCCGTGGATGGTCCTCATGGAATGATCTGACAGAAGTTTCCTGAGGTTATTTCTGTCTTATCCCTATTCTTCCTAAGCCTAAACCACGGCGTTTTAGCACCAAATAGGGGAACATATTAGACTAAACACTCAAATCTCTCTTATTCTACGCTCTCATTCTCTCCCAAAAGTTGGTGTGAATTGGGAGCCATGAGAAGTCTATGCTAAGTGCAAAAGAATGGACAGAAGGGATCTTTGGTGTGAATTGGGAGCCGTGAGAAGTCTCTGTGAAGGGCCGTGGGCAGTGTGGTGACTTTAATGTCATTAAATATCCATCAGAAAGAACAAATTGTTCATCAATCAATGGGTTTATGTCAGAATTCTCTGATTGTACTGAGGAGGTGGAGCTCATAGACCCTTCTTTATTTGGAGGGTCTTTCACTTGGAGAAGAGGAGAGAATCATACAACTACATTAAGGATTGACAGAGTTATGTGTTCCTCTCAAAGGGAGGAATTCTTCACCCTCATTAAACAATCAACTCTTCCAAAGTTGGTATCTGGTCATAACCCAGTTCTACTGACTTGTGGAGACATGAACTTCAAGAAATCTTACTTCAAATTTGAAAACTGGAGGATGGGGATTGAAGGCTTGAAGGAGAAAGTGAGTTTTTGGTGGTCATCATTTGTAGTTACTGGTACAGCTGGGTTTGTCTTAGCTGAAAAGATGAAACTTCTAAAAAGGAAACTGAAGGAATGTAGCAAGAATAATAGGAGCAACTGGAAACAACAAAAGGAAGAGAACCTTGATCAATTGTCCAAATGGGAGATCCTTCAGGAGAAAAGACTACTTACAGATGATGAATTAATGCAAAAAAAAAAAAACAAATTTGGTAATGTCTTTTGAAGTTGTCAAAAATGAAGAGATAAGGAGGAGAAAAAGATCCAGAATACAAGAGTTGAAACATGAGGACAAGAACACCAAGTTTTTTCATAGAACAGCAACATCTCACAAAAAGTACAACACCATAGAATCCTTGAAGGTGGAGGGAAGTAATCTCACTGATCCCACTGACATAAAGGAGACCATCAAGAGTTTCTATGAAAATTTGTACAAGGAAACAGAAGTTTGGAGGCCATAATTACAATGGCAGGGGTTACTTGTATTAATGAGGATGAAAAGGAAGAGTTACAGGAACAAATTGAGGAGGAGGAGATTCTAGAATGCATTAAACTTTGTGCGATGGAGAAAGCTCCTGGGCCCAATGGTTTTCCCAAGTCCTTTTATCTTATAGTTTGGGAAGTGATGAAAGAAGATATCAAAGGTGTGATACATGAGTTCTAAAATAATCAGAGGACTGAGAGAAGTTCCAATGCAACTTTTGTGGCTCTCATCCCCAAGAAAGCAGATGCTTCTGAATTGAAGGACTTCAGACCTATAAGTCTAATCACATGCATATACAAAGTGTTAGTACAGATACTAGCTGAGAGACTGAAAAGGTGGTGGATAAGTTGCTCAATAAGCATCAAATGGCCTTCATTGGAGGGAGACAGATAATGGAAGTTGCACTTATAACTAGTGAATGTGTGGATTCAAGATTGAAAGGTGTTGAGCCTGGTATAATGTGTAAACTGGACATTGAAAAGGCATATGATCATGTGAATTGGAAGTTCTTGCTGAACATTCTCAGACAAATGGGCTTTGGAGAAAAGTGGCTAGGCTGTATGAATTTGTGCATCAGCACTGTCCTATTTTCTATTCTGGTTAATGGTGAACCAGTGGGCTTCTTCCCTTCAGGAAGGGGACTGGGACTTAGACAGGGTGACCCCCCTTATCTCCCTTTCTGTTTATTTTGGCAATGGAAGGCTTTGACAACTTGATGAGAATAGCAATACAAAACAGATGGATCAAGGTTTTCAAATAGAGGGTAGCAATGGACAAGTTAAAGAAATTTGTCATTTGCTCTATGCAGATGATACTTTCAGTTTTTGTGAACCTTGGGAGGACCAGATGAGATTTATCAAAACAATCTTACTGTTTTTTGAAGCTTCCTCAGGTCTAAAAGTGAATTAGGGGAAAGCAATTTATTTCCAATCAAAGAGGTGACCAACATTTTGAATCTAGCAAAAACTTGGGATGCAAAGTGGAAAGTATGCCAACAGTTTACTTAGGCATATGCCTTTAGGAAATAAACACAAGGATACAGTCTGGGATGGCATTGTGGAGAAAACAGAAAGGAGATTAGCAAATGGTGGAATTCGTGTGAAGCACAAGGAAGACCTGATTATATTGTCTTGTAAACTAAGATTCCTGAAACATAAATTGAAGGAATGGAATACTGCTAATGGGAGGAATCTAAAGGCTAAGAAAGCTGATATTCTTTACCAGATTAGCTCCCTGGATACCATACAAGAGCAAAGACTGCTATCAGAGGATGAATTACTATTGAAAGCAAGCTTGAAAATGGAGTATGAAGAGGTGGCAAAAAATGAGGAAATTTCTTGGAGGCAGAAATCCAGAATCTTATGGTTGAAACAAGGAGACAAGAATACCAAATTTTTTCGAAGGATGGCCAACTGTCATAAAAGATTTAATCACATTGACACCATAGAAGCTCATTGAGAGACCATCACTGATCCAGATAGAATCAAGGAAGAGATTGTGGATTTCTATAAGAATTTGTACTCTGAGACAGAACACTGGAGACCTTTATTCAACCTTCAAGAAGGCTCAATAATCACTGAAGATGATAATGATTGGTTGCAGAGCGAATTTGAAGAACAAGAGGTGTTGGAATGCTTGAAGTTATGTGCTGCTGACAAAGCTCCAGGCCCAGATGGATACTCTATGGGATTTTTCCAATGCTGCTGGGAAATTGTGAAAAAGGATGTGATGGACACTATCAGAAACTTTCATACGAGTGATTATTTTGAAAAGAGTTTCAATGCAACTTATGTTGCCTTGATTACCAAGAAAATTGGTGCCAAAAGTCTTAAAGAGATTTCATACCTATAAGTCTGATCGGGAGTGTGTATAAAATTATCTCTAAGCTCCTCACTGAAAGGCTCAAGAGTGATTGATAAACTGGTGGATAGACATCAAATGGCTTTTATTAAAGGCAGACAAATCATGGATGCTATGCATTGATACCATAGCATTGGTGCTTATGGACGGAGAGGAACAAAAGATGTTTTGATGGCACCCCAACTCCCATCTCTACCTTTAAAGCAAGATGTTTGATTACTCTTTTTGGTTGGGTTAATCTCTCTCCTGTACTTAGTGTCGATTCTTTCCTAGAATTTATCAGCTCCATAGATCTCTGTTGTTAGCTGTTTAGATAGCTTTTTTTTGCCTTTTGGGAGCTGATATTTCTTTCTTTTGTAATCTGTGCATCTGCTTGATGCTTTGTTAATGACATTCTTCTTACTTCATCAAAAAAAAAAAAAAAAAAGATAGCCAATGAGTGTGTGGATTCTAGAATCAAATACCAGACTCCTGGTATTCTCTGCAAACTTGACATTGAGAAGGCTTATGATCATGTTAATTGGAATTTCCTCCTAAAAGTTCTAAAAGACATGGGTTTTGGTATGAAGTGGATTAGATGGATTGCCTTCTGTATTAAGACTGTCAAATTTTCTATTCTGGTAAATGGATCTCCTGAAGGTTTCTTCTCTTCCGAGAGAGGATTGAGACAAGGAGATCCTCTCTCTCCTTTCCTCTTTCTCATAGCTATGGAAGGACTGAATCAGATATTTAAAATTACAAAAGACTTAGGAGCCCTGAACGGTTTCAAAGTTACAGGGAGAGCAGTGGGATAGAGAGCACCCATTTACTTTACGCAGATGATTCATTGGTATTCTGTGATGCTGATATTGATCAGGTCAAACATCTGAGAGCTATTCTGGTGATTTTTGAGGCAGTTTCCGGACTTCACATCAACTGGCATAAGAGCAGTTTATTCCCGGTTAATAAAGTGGACAATATTCAAGCACTTGCAGGTATTCTGGGATGTGTGGTGGGTTCCCTACCTACTACCTATTTGGGGCTAACTTTGGGTGCTAAAAGTAAAGCCTTGCAGATTTGGAGTTGGTGTCATAGAAAGGTCTGAAAAGAGGCTTGCAATATGGAAGGGACAATACTTATCTCTAGGTGGTAGGGTTATATTAGTCATTAGTGTTTTGGATGCCCTTCCTACTTATGTCATGTCTCTTTTTCCTTTACCTAGCAAGGTTAGGAAAAGAATTGACAAGATCAGAAGGAATTTCATATGGCAAGGACACAACAAAAAAAGAGCATTCCACCTGGTTAATTGGGATGTTCTTATCAAATCCAGAAAAGATGGTGGCCTTGGCATCAGGAACCTAAATGCTCACAACCAAAGTTTGCTAATGAAGTGGTTATGGAGGTATAATCTTGAAACATATGCTTTATGGAGAAATGTCATTCATGACAAGTATGGTCAAGAAGATCAGTGGTGTTCAAAGGTGGTTGTGAGCCCCCATGGTGTAGGAGTCTGGAAAGCAATCAGATCCCTCTGGTCTTTGATGGCTGGAAAAATTAGCCTAAGAGTGGGCAATGGTAGGAAAATCCTTTTTAGGTGTGATAACTGGCTTGGACATGGACCTCTAAAGGAACTCTTCCCTGAATTCTTTAGCATTGCCACTATGCCAAACATTAGCCTGGAATCAGCAAAAGGAGTACATGGATGGAATATTACTTTTAGAAGACTACTGCATGATTGGGAGTTGGAAAGAGTTGTTGAATTTTTCAAGACCTTGGAATCATTCCAAGGGTTCAAAGACACTGAAGATTCACTTATATGGAAGCCCACTAGTAAAGGAACTTATTCTGTAAACTTAGCTAATAACATTTTGATTAGGCACAGACAGTCAACTAATCAGTGGCCATGGAGATCCATTTGGAAGATGAAGGCTCCTTTTAAGGTGGTATGCTTTTCTTGGCTAGTAGCAAGAAATGCTTGTCTCACACATGATAAACTTCAAAGAAGGGGATTCCAACTGTGTTCTAGATGCTTTTTGTGTGGAGCTGCTGGGGAAAATAATAGCCATCTATTCATTCATTGTCCCGTTACTGGACAATTATGGCAACTATTTTTGAATATGGTAGGAATCAGATGGTCAATGCCAGCAACAAGTGTTGATTTGCTGAAATGTTGGAACTAGAATGATGGGGCAGTTGGATGAAACTTGTCCCTGCTTGCATATGGTGGACCATTTGGAAGGAGAGGAACTATAGAGTTTTTGAAGACAAATATAATTTTGTGGAGAAAATCAAGATGAATTGTATATTTTTGTTTTATTTTTGGTGTAAAGAAAGCTATGCTGAGGAGGCTGAATCACTAGTTGATATGATAGGATCCTTGTGAAGCAGTAGCCTAAGCTTGGTTGGGATTTTGTGAAGTCTTTTGCACTGTTATGGTGTAATTTTTTTTTAAAAAAAAAAAAATATATATATATATATATAGTTACCAATTTCAAAAAGATGGAAGGCTCAATATTTGTCTCTAGGAGTTAGTCATCAATTCAGTGCTAGACTTCCTTCCTAATTATGTCATGTCACTATTTCCATTACCCACCAAAGTTTTGAAGAAACTGGACAGATTAAGGAGGAACTTCCTTTGGCATGGATGCAAAAAAATTAAAGGTTATAACCTTGTCAAATGGGAGATAACCTTGAACAGTAGAGACAAAGGGGTTATGGGTATTAGAGATTTGAGTTAACAAAACAATAGTCTTTTGATGAAGTGGTTATGGAGATATAATGAAGAGGGGCAAGCCTTATGGAAGGATGTCATCAGATCCAAGTATGGTGAGTACAATCTTTGGTGCAGTAATGTTAGTGTTGATGCCTATGGGGCGGGGATCTGGAGAATTATCAGAAACTAATGGCAAAAACTTGATGCTAATATGTACATTGAAGTGGGAGATGGCAGGAAAACTAAGTCTTAGGCAGACTCGTGGAACAAACAAATCACTCTATAAGAATCCTTTCCAGATATATTCTTACAATGTAGTAATCCAGATGCAAATATCAATGAATGTTGGACAGCACAAGGGTGGAATCTGATCTTTAGAAGGTTTTTGAATGACTGGGAAGTAAAGCGAGTGGCCAAATTGCTAGAGCTGTTAGAAAAATTCTCTGGCACCACCAATTCTCCTGCTTCTTTGAGATGGAAACATAGTAAAGATGGGGCTTTCACTGTTAGCAGGGCATACAACATGGAAAGCCCCTAGCAAAGCATCTATAAACAGAGTTTGTGGAGAAAGGTATGGAGAACCTTAGCACCAACTAAGATAAAATGCTTTACATGGTTGGTTGCAAGAAGGGCTTGCCTTACACATGAAGCATCGAAGAAAAAAGGAAAGATTATAGTACCTTGGTGTTTATTATGCGGGAAGGCAAAGGAGACCAACAAGCATCTACTCTTGCATTGCAACTTTACAACACAAACTAGGGTCATCTTCCTTGGTCTCACAGAGACGAATTGGACCATGCCTGAGCACACTGCAGACTTATGGAGTAGTTGGATAAGAAGAGGGGGGAGCAAGAGCCAGAAGGCATGGTTGAGGATAATTCCATATTGCATTTGGTGGACATTTTGGAAAGAAAGAAACAGTAGAAACTTTGAAGATAGGTCCAATTCCATTGAGAAGGTTAAAGGGAATTGTATTGTATCTTTTTATTTTTGGTGTAAAGAGAAAGATTTAGAGGAAACAGAACAGATTGTAGAATTATTAGGATCCTTGCAAGTATTTTTTTCTCTGTTTTTGTTCCCTCTGTTTTTTGAAGGTCACCAACATATCCTTAATGCTAAAGAATACAACATTACTATTTTAAATTAAAAAAGTTCACAAGAAACACCAAGTTAGGATTCTTCTTTCAAGGTTTTTCATCAAGTTTCGTCACTAAAGTATGCAAGGCTTCAATGGGAGTATCATTTCACTCTCATGCCTAAGTCATATGTTCTTTCAAAGATTTTTACAGAATTTCTAGAATCCAAGTTAGGGATTCTACTCAATTAATGAAATTTCATCATAAGCTCCTGTTCTTGATCGTATTACTCAGTTTTTATAAATCTCATTGTACCAATCTCATTGGTCCAAAGGGTGGGTCACAGATGGATTTCTCGGTTATCAAAAAAAAAATCTAACATGACTACGGTTTTTTTTAACCTCGATAATTTTTAAGCATGAAATTAGCATGATACAAATTTCAGTTTCCATACAAATTATTTGAAATATGATTTTCAGCTTAGTTACACACTTGATACAGACAGATAGATAGTTCACCTATTTATGAGCATATCAGTATTTGTATATTATTTTGGGAGGATTATTTAACACTAAGAGGTCGTGAGTTCAGAAAACCCAAGACCCATTACTATGTGCCACTATAGAATTTTGAGTAAATCACTAGTCGATCAACTCCTTTAGCCCAAGAGGCTCAGTTAGTGGATCCACATCAGATAGATAGGTCCTACACCCTGACAAGGTATAGGAAAGCCCTTCCAAATGGATTATAAGTTGGACAACATAAGCTCATATGGTATATGTCGATTGTAAGAAACTCCCCATAAAAGTAACATTATGTTCATAAACTTAAATTATCATCAGCGTTCTTCTCAAATGCGATAGTTTAGATCTAATTTCAACTCAGGGCTACAGAAACAACCGTTATATAATTGAAAGCAAGTTCTCAAATGATATTTATACACTGGTTTTAGGATGTCTTTCATTATATCACTATATTTATGATTATGATTATTGAATACTCATTAGTTCTTACTACATGTTGCCACCCGAAATGATTATGTTTAGTCTCACCTTATATACTCAGCACATTCCACGTACTGGCTGCATACTTTTCTCTGCAAAGCATCCTATTATGATGTAGATTTAGATGTTCGCTCTCACACTAGTGGCTAGACAGGTTGCAGTTTTTCCCGTCAGTAGTTGATGAGTCAACTTCATTTGGTAACTTCATGGAGTTGTCAGTAACTAAGTTTTATGTAAGGACAGTTATTTTCTTTGAGGTAGCTAGGGATCATGTCCCGACAAACTTATTTCTTCTTTCATTCCAATTAGTAGAGGTTCCACTTCAGACATTAGTTGTTCAGTTCCATGCATTTTATTCAGATATATGTTAAGTATTTCCTTCAGTTAATTATGTTTTAGCTTCCACTTGCACTTCATAAAATGTCAGTTAAGTTATTAGCAAAATGTCAGTACCACGGGTCCGCTAAGCGTCATTCGTGATTCTAAGTGCCGGTCACAACTAGGGTGTAGACTCGGATCGTGACAATTTTATACTTCAGGGACAAGCATAAAGAATATTGATCACTTTTGTCTTAATCTTTAATTATTTTTTTTAAAAAGGAATAAAGCATCTGTGAATATTCAAATAGTCTTTCTTGCTATCAAAGTTTAAAAAAATATATGGAAGTAAATTGTGTTAGCAGTGAATTTCCAGTATGTAGACCAAATAAACCAAGAATATTCTGTTAAAACAATCAAAAAGAAGAGAAACCTCATGCACCTGTATGTACAGTGACCCGAGCCAGATTCCCAACCGTAATTTTATAATCAACATTCAATCTATTGATCCCAGAAAGAAAAGCCACGCTCTCTCATAACTTTTCTCATTTCAGGTTTTTTATGGAAATCCCTTTCTTTATCAGCTTTTTCAAATTTGACCACCTTTTTGTTCTCCTGATGACATGTTACTTTATTCTCTTGAGAATCTCTCCTGCCAGCCACCCAAGCTTGAAGCATTTCATCTATCTTGGGCTCCGGCAGTAAACCTTTTTGCTTCATTTCTTGATAGTATTTGTACGACTGCTCCAGCTTCCCATTCAAAAAGAGTCCATGTATCAGCACTATATATGAACTTCGATCATGGTCCAAGCCGATCTTGCTCATCTTATCCCACAACATGAAAACATTATCAAGTTGGCACCATCGGCAAAACTTCCGGATTAACATTATATAAGTGTCATGAGTTGGAATACATCCCATCGTGTTCATCTTCTGCAAGTGCTCGAACACCTCTTCCCCTGTCCTCAGGCTACGAAGCAATGCATGGTAAGTTCGGACAGTAGGATGTATGCCTCGTTGAATCATTTCATTGAAGATCTCTTGAGCTTCATCTAGTAATTGAGCTTTGCAGAGAGGCATGATTAATGAGTTATAAGTAACAGCGTTTGGAGCGAGATCATTCTCTTCCATCATCTTCATCACACTCCTAGCTTGTTTAACCAACCTGCCTTTTGCAAGAGCATGAATGACAGCATTATAAACCTTAACATCAGGTGCAACCCCACACAATTTCATCTCATCGAAAAGCTTAAGCACAACATTGAGTCTACCAGCCCTCGAATAGCAAGACATGATACTACAATACGAAAAAATATCACGAGGAATCCTTTTTTCCTTCATCAACCTCCAAATCCTCTTTCCCTCACTTAAATCATCAAGGGCAAGACACCATCCATTGAGAATGATATTCAAACTCTTGGTATTCAACGGGAAAACATTCTTATTGCAAAAAAGCAAGTGCTCGGCATCTTTTACATTTTTGTAGCGAGCAAGGGCAGACAAAAGGTCTTGAAATTCTTCCATTCCAATATCTAAATTAAACCGTTTAAATGCATAAAAAGTACTGATAGATTTTCCGACGTCATGTACAGCACAGTATTTCCTTATCATGATCAAGAGTGTCTGAGGATTCACAAGAGATGGTCTATCTTTACCACCTCTCATTTCCTCAATGAGTGACCATGCAGTGTCAAACTTCCTCATTTTTCCAAGTATAGATATCATAGAATGGTATTGACGCACAGAGTGCACATAACCTGTTTGTTTACTGGCCCATATGAAGAAAGTGAATGCAACTTCCCAATTATTTCGTGCACGAGAAAGAATGACAGTAACTAGATTGCGTGTGGGCCTTACACCACATTGCTCAAGTTTGTTATGCACATGGGTTCCGGGTTGTTTGAAAATGGCTTCAATTGTTTCAACATCTTCTTTGGAAAAATCAGAATATAGTTCGTTATAATCTAGTGAAGGGTCAGTATCAGTAGTATCTTCATGTTCATAATCACTGCCATCATGTGAATTGCTTGAGGAAGTAAAAGTAGAGAACCTGATTCCAGAAGTAGACCTTGAGAGAGCACCATGTAGGAAACTAGCATGGGGAACGAAAACACCACTGGTGGATCGAAGAAGAAAAGATGGCAAATTGGGAGTGAGATGACCACGAAGGAACAAGGAAATTACAAGTCTATATTTCATCATCAAACTGTTCAACCAAATGACTGAAAGAATTTTTTTCGTTGCCCTAATGCTGAAAGCTGCGCTCCCCTTTCTCCCCAACCACTACTTTTTCCTTTTTTATTTTTTAACTTCTTTTTCCCATTTTAAAGACCTATTTTATCTTTCAGAGTTTAAAGAAAAGTATGTAAGTTTTAAAAAAAGAAAAGTTTTAAAGCATTTTTGTAATGTCTCAGTAATATAAAAATAATTTTAATGTATTTGTTTTAAGTGAAAATAACTTTTAAAGTCAAAAGTTATAAGTTAGGATACTAAGAGCATGTTTGGATTGATTGAAAACAATGATTTTTTAAAAGTGCTGAAACTTTTTTTTTTAAAAAACAGTTAGGTGTTTGAATAGAAGTGTTGAACTAAAAAAAAGTTGATCATGTGTTTGGTCCATAAGTATTGTTATACATTTTTTTGTTAAAATACTCTTAAAATTGTTAAACATTATAAAATGCTAATTATAAATTTTTACTTTTCAACCTCATTATAAATTAATTTATATGTGTAAGTTATTTTTAATTTTAAAAAGGAAAAAAGGAAAAAATATACCTTCAAACTATCGTAAATGGTATGCAGATACTCTACGTCATACTTTTGGGACATAAGTGCCCCTGTCATCCAAAAACTAGAGCATATATGCCATTCACTCTAACGGAAGACTAAATAGGAACACGTGACACAATCTTATCCGTCGATCTGATATTTAATAAATGCCGAATCGGTGGATGAGATTATGATACATGTATGTCTGTTAGTATAAAGGGCATATGCTCTAGTTTTTAGACGTCATGGGCACCAATGTCCCAAAAGTATGACGGAGGGTATCTGCATACCATTTACGATAGTTCGGGGGCATATTTGTCTTTTTCCCTTTTAAAAATATATAATTTTGATAAGGGAAAAGGGTTTGATATACCCCTTAACTTTGACATTTAGAGATGATATACCCCTCGTTATGAAAGTGGCTCATATGTACCCTTACCGTTATACAAATGACTCACATATACCCTTACAGTTACAAAAGGAGCTCACATTACCTTTCATCTAATGGAAGTGAAAAAATTAGTTTTAAATTTATTTTTTTGACTTTAATTTTTTTAAAAGTCCATGTGGGGGTATATATATATGATCCTTCTAGCAAAGTTCAAGATATATTTTAATCTTTTTTCATACAAAAATTATTTTTTGACTTCTTTGATTATCATTATTCGAGTTTCTCATTATTTTTTTCTTTCATTCTTTAGTGTACGGAAAAAATTTAAAACTAATTTTTGTACGGCTATATTGTAATTTAGTTTTGTATTTGTAAAAAAAATGGGCATCTATAATAAATTTCACAAGAAAATTAGTGAAACATAAATAAATTTGACCATCAAAATAATATATTTAAATTAGTCATTGGAACAAAAAAGTAAAAAAAAAATATGTGTTAGGAAGATCAAATATACCCCATATTGATTATTGTTTTCTCAAAAAAATAATTAAAAAAACTAAATTAAAATTAACTTTTTCACTTCCGTTAGAGGAAAGAGTATATGTGAACCATTTGTATAACAATAGGGGTATATATGAGCCACTTTCATAGCGAAGGATATATCAGCTCTAAATGACAAAGTTGAGGGGTATATCAGACCATTTTCCCTTTTGATAAAGCACATGAACAATTTGAAATATTTTTTCAATTGTATTTATAAATGACAATGGTTATATTTCCTCTTTACCACAAATAATTTATACGGAAAAAAATGGAGAACATAATATAGAGAGAAAAAAAAGAGCCCGAGGAGGAAAAAAAAAAAAAAGAAAGAGCAAAGAAAAAGTAGGTGGAAGATAATATGAGAGTTATAAAAAATATTGGGAATAAAAAAGTAAAATTATTGGTCAAACATAAATGACTTTTAAACCAAAAAAAAAGTAGGGGGGCAACTTTTAAATTTTGACTTTTAAAAGTAAATTTTAACTTATTTTAAACACTTTTTGGATTTGTCAAACATTCCAAAAAGTTTTTAAAAAAATAGAAGCTTAAAAGATTATTTGACCAGTTTCAAAGTCAATTCAAACAACTTCTTAATCTGAACTTATTGATTATTCTTATAAGTCGTAAGCTATAAGCTCATCAGCTCGTCTAAACACACTCTAAGGGGTCGTTTGGTAGAGTGTATTGGAGGAAATAATGCACGCATTAGCTTTGTGTATTACTAGTTGTTTGGTACACTTTTTCAACATATGTATAATTAATGTATTTATAAGTAATACACTCTATTGTGTATTTAGGAGTGTATTACTAATACTATGAATTTCTATGCATTAGTAATGCAATGAGTTCTAATGCATGCATTAGCATTGTTAGATACATAATTGTCCCTCAAAAACTTTTCCACATCCTTTCTATTATATTAGTGTAAGGTATTTTTGTAAACAGATACTTTTTTAATTTTTTTTAGCAATGCATGATATTTTTAGAACACCAAACCAAACACTGCATAAGAAAAATCTCAGCATAACTAATGTAGGTATAACTAATACAATCACTATTAATGCAAAGATTACTAATACACTATATTTTGCATTATTCTTACACTCTATCAAACAACTCCTAAGCATTTTGTTCTCTATTAATTATCACAGAATCAAAGAACTTTGTGTACTTTGTCTGGTTCATGTTATATGATGTTCTAAGTTTTGTACCCCCTTAAAAAATTATTCAACCCTAGAAAATAATATATGTTTTTTTTTTACTAAAGTATCACTAATTAAATAATATCAATTTAATATGATTTCTTAAGTATGTAAAAAATTACTTATTTGATCAGGGTAAATTAAGGAAATAAAGCAATTAATATTTTATCGATTGTGTAAAAAATAGTTATTTTGGGTCAAACATAAAAGCGAAAAAAATCATATAATATGGATTTAAGGGAGTAGTAATCTTTTGTGTAAGTGATAACACTCAATTATACCTCGCAATTGAAGTATAAACAATTGTTTGCAAACATAATACCCAATTTAGGAGTCGTGGTCGAACTACAAAGACTAATAGAAAGAAATACATTCTAATTTATTGTCAATTCAACACTAACTAGCACAATGTCTTAAATCGAGAATGTAAAACGGGGGGGGGGGGGTTTTGGAAA